TAGTAAGGTAGTTTATCTGACATCTCCTTCTCATTACTTGCCATAATCATTTCATATGCATTATTTTTTTTTTTGTGCTTAGCATCAATAATATTGTTAATATGCACAAGTTTTGTATGACCAATAAAATTAACAATTTGTATTTCTTATAACTTTTTTATAAATATTGTTCCAAAAAGAGATGAGAAAATAATCATTTACATGAATAAGTTGGAATATCATAATCATTAGTCTTCAATACGAAGAAGCTTAAATGTCAATATATCACAAGTACATAACTAAATGAGTAAATAGTGCACATACCCCAACTAGTTGGTGGCGGCTTCGGCGTAAGACCCTTGAGTCACTGGTTCAATCCTCCGTGGCGCGGGGTTCTCGAATTTTCAACACACCGAGCGAGCTCCCAGACCTGATGGGAACTCGACCAAAGAGGTTGATCGGCGGTCTCCGACCGTCGATCAATATTTTTTTTAAAAAAGAAAAACCTAAATGAGTAACTATAAGTCATATATATTTATATTTTGGCTTCTTAGTTTAACAATTGATTATCTCACCAGAATTGACGGAACAACATCGCGATTAGTAACTTCTCTAGACTCTCTCTGAGATAACCTAATTTATACAGTCTAGATTTACAATTCCCTTTGACATTGAATGAAATTCATTTAGTAAATTAAATTTAAACACATTATAAACCCGATTGCATATTCACTTGAAATTGATTTCTCCTCAGACAATTTTTTTTTCAAAACTCGTGCCCCACCAATACAACAAAATAAAAATTAAAAAACTAAAAAGAAATAAATGAGTATTTTTAGGTTAAATGAAAATAATAATAATTTTTCTAGTTAAAATTTAAACAAATATCATATATCCAAAGCCCAAATTTTCTCCCCGAGTCTTTCTCCTCCCCTTCCTTTTATTATTTATTTTCTTGTTTCACATTTCAACAGCACCCCAAGAGCGTAGCTATCAATTTCCTCCATTCATTCCTCACGAGATCACTTAGATCGCAATATCATCTCCTACTAAGCACTTAAGTTATAATCTGGCCAATGACGGGGGCAAAAATAAGAAAAAAATGGGTATTATACTTACACTCACGCACACATAATCCCAACCATTAAATCCCTTTGCATGCATGTGAAATGGAAATGCTATAGTGTTGAGTTGATTGATAGTTGGTAATTAACTTAACTAGGTGAATAAATTAAATTTAATTAAGATAAAAATTATTTAAATAAAATATATTAATAATTTTAACATAGTACTATATTTCAGATTGATTAATACAAAATATATAATTTTATTAAAGTGTTCAATTGAATTTTATGGGATGCAAAAAATGAGTTATTTTTTAAAATAACTAAAATTTTCCTAATTTGGTTTAAATTAGGCATTAGAATGCTCCCCTCCATATTAAATATTCATCCTTGAATTTTCTCAATTGCCAATCAAACAAAAAGGGAAATCTCTGTCATATTACCTGTTCATTTTTAGGTGGCTTCTTTTTCAGGCATGTGTTTTCATATTATATTGACACGAGGGATCAACATGTTATTAAGTTTTTTAATATTTGATTTCAAAATTTTTTTGGATCTTCAATGTATGTCAAATTTTCTTAAACCTCAATATCTTATGTAAAATTTTTTTATCCGAGCCTTAAATTAATTTATTCAATATATATATATATAGCCTATAAGCAACTTAGCAAATTTCTCTATAATTTTAAATGGTCATATGTATCTTTGACTCAATTTGCTTCCCTGACCCAATAGAGATGTTCCTTTCATCAGTTTAGTTGTTAAAAATACAAAATCTCCAACCTCAAACTTCATAGATGTGTCTTTTGAGTGATAGTATTTTTGCTGTCAATCATGAATCTGTCTTTGATTAGTTTGATTTTCCTGACTTTATCAACTAACTCTGGACCTAATAATTGACATTTTCCTTCAACCCAATTTAATGAAGTTTTGCATTTTTTGCCATAGAGTGTTTCATATGGAGCCATCTGTATATTGAACTAATAGTTGTTATTATATACGAACTTGATTATCAAAATGTGATCTTTTTAGCTAACTTGAAAAATTTGAGCACATAACTTTTAACAGATCTTCCAATAACTGAATTTTCTTTTTGTTAGTTTGTCGAGAAAATGTTGTAGTGAGATATAGTTGTATGCTCAAAATTTTCTTAATACCATTCCACAATGTGGATGTTCATTCTTGACTCTGCAACAACAACAACAACGACAAGCCTTATCCTACTAAGTGGGGTCGGCTACATGAATCTTTTTTCTCCATTGTGTTTAATTGAGTGTCATATTTTCATTTAATTCCAATAAATTAAGATCTTTTTTTATACAGCAAGCCCAAGTCATTTTAGGTCTACTTCTTTCTTAACATAAGTCAAATATAAAACATCCACTCTCCTAATTGGGTCATTAAATAGTTAAGGTTTAATGTGGCCAAATTATCTCAGATGACTCTCTAATTTTGTCTGCCTACTCCAACCTTTCATAGATAGATTTATTTCACATTTTTCTGTAAGTGTAAAGCCACTCATCTACCTTAGCATTTTCATCTCAGCGACACTTAACTTAATTTTATGTTTTTTACAAGCCAACATTCTATGCCATAAAGTATTGCATGTCTCACCGCCATCTTATAAAATTTTCCTTTACACGGTATTTTTCTATCACAATAGGCTCGATGCATTCCTCCACTTCAACCATCAAACATTAATTCTACTAATAACGTCTCCATCTATATCACCACCAATTTAAACAATAGACAAGATATCTGAAACTTTCACTCCTTTTAATGACTTGATCTCCCATGATTACAACCCCACCACTATATCTAATACTACTAAAACTATTTTTCGATCTACTCAAACTAAAGCCTTTAAACTCTAAAGTTGACCTCCATAATTCAAGTTTTTTCTGAACTCTCTGTGAGATTATCCATAAGAAGGATATCATCAGCAAAATGCATACACCAAGGTACAGTAAGAATATCCATAAATAACGCAAAAGAAATGGGCTTAAAGTTGATCTCTTTTGTAATACAACTACAACAACAATAACAAAAACAACAACAAAGCCTTAATCCCACTACGTCGGGTGGGCTAAATGAATCCTTTTTCTCCATTGCGTCCTATTTAGTGTCATTTTCATTTAATTCTAATAAATTAAGATCATTTTTTATACAATAAGCCCAAGTCTTCCTAGGTCTACCTCTGCTTTTCTTAACATAAGTCGAATCTAAAACATCTACTCTCTTAATCGGATCATCAGATGGTCGGCGCTGAAGGTGTTCAAACCAATTAAGATGGCTTTCTCTAATTTTTTCCGTCACAGGAGCTACACCAACCCTATCACGAATATAATCATTTCACATTTTGTCTCTAAGTGTAAAGCCACTCATCCACCTAATCATTCTTATCGCGGCAACACTTAAACAGAAAAATACCAGGTCAATTCTCCTTGTGTTCGAACACAAGTAATAGTTATATTATACACATCTTTAATGACTTTAATATAAGCAGTTTTAATAAAATTATTTTCTAGAACTCTCTAAATTATCTCTTGGAATATTATCATAAGTTTTTTTTATATTAATAAAAATCATATTTAGATATTTCCTACTCTCTCTATACTTCTCCATGAAACCTCTCAATAAAAGTATAGCTTCCATAGTAGATTTGCCTGACATGAATCCAAACTAAAATCTCGACTCTTGAAAGAAATAATTACTTATGGAATGCAATACGGTTTGGTTATTTATTTGACATATAATATGACCAATTTATTATCTGAAATCTTTTTGCTTGATTGATAAGAAATGAGCTAATTTCTTTTGTCTGTCAGTTATCATTTAAATGTTTCCATGCCCCTATTTGAACTTGAGAAATCCCATAACAAAATTTATTGCAATTTCTTCTTATTTTCACTTAGATATAGACATGACTGTAACAATTTATTAGGTCTCTAATGCTAAATTTTAACAAGCTTAACACTTATAAACATACACAACAATGTTTTTGCTTATACCTAGCCATCGAAATAGTAATTTCAAATTGTATAGCCTAATTGATGATCCTTCTGCAATATCTTTTTTTCTCAAATCTAGGTCAGTAGGTATCCAATGTTGTACTTTCTATCAAATAACACCACCTTTATGCACATTAACATATTGTCTCTTCCCTGACTAAATATGTTTAATGAGTCTTTGATATTCATTGTTAACTTTTTCTGGTACTTTAATTCTATCTAATAAGGTTGGTTGCACCATCAACTGATGCAAATATTCAATATCCTTAGTTTTTATTGAATTGCGAAGTATCCATTTCCTTTATTAATTTTGGCTCTTATGTAATGATCCAACTTGCAATATTTGTAGACTTACGACTTGAGGCATCAACTAAAACATTTGCTCTGTCAGGACAATACTCTGTATCCAAATTTTAGTATTTTATAAGCTCTAGCCACCTTTTCCATCTCATATTTAACTCCATTAAAGGGGCAGAATTGAAGTTTGTTTGACTGCCTCACCTAAATAGGTGGTCAGAAGGAGAAAGTTTGGCTGGGGACTTCTTCCCCTGTCTTTCTAATGAACAGATTTTACGATTTGTTTCAAAAATTGCCTACACATTTAGCATTTATCTTCGTTTCTTTGAATGCTTCTTGCTTGTAGTTTTTCCATCTTTACAGAACTCAATTGATTGCTCACTGAGAATGTTTTTTCAAGCATTGGTTTGTCTATGTTGCTTTGTTTATGACTTTTGAAAATTTGAATAAACGAACCTTGGAAAAATGAAATTTATTTTGAAATGCTACATCTTATCTATAATGTTCTGATTCTTCTTAGCTAGCATCACTATATCACGTAGCTCTTAAGTGATGGATAATGGAATCTTTATGGAGAAGAATGTGTTTGTTCACTGTTTTCACACTTTTCTTTTGATTGAACTTAATTAGTGTTTTCCAATGCTGCCAGTTTAGACATGGATGGGCAAAAGCAAACTTGTTTGCATCCCGAAGTGTCTCTTTTGTCAAGAGAGACTTTGTGTGCATTCCCAAAGGTTGGATCAATCATAAGACTAATTGTTAGCAAAGACTTTGAAGAAATATCTCAGCTAAAAGGTAGTGGTTATTGGGTTAAGTTTTGCAATGTTGTTTTTGAGCTACAATCAGGTCTATGGAGAGGTGCTCTTACTCCTAACAGCTATATTAAAAAATTGTCCGATGAAGATAACCACGTACAATGCCGTCAAAGGTGACCATCTTCTTCTAAAAGAAAAAAAAAAGTACAAAAGAAAAAAATGAATGCTTCAATTTTTCGCATGGACTAATGGACTATTTCTCTTAAATCTAGGATTTTTAATGGTCGTAATTCATCTAAAGTGGATGCCTTACCTTTGTCAGTCTTTCCTTGGCCATCCAATGTAACAGGTATTGAGCATCTTCCACTTCAACAGAAAGCTTTAATAATTTTGTGGTTAGACCAATTTTTATTTTTATTGAAGATTGATTTATTTATAAACTTTTGGTTTTTTCTATCCTTTTGATATGTGGGGGTAAAGGTTTTTCTCTTTCGTGGAATTGTGGTTTTGTCATCTCTAGCGTATAGCTAAAATGCATCCATACTGAACTCATGCCAACATATGGTTAACGCATTATGGATCTCTGGGCCACACAGCCCAACATTCCAAGCTGTGATTGATGTGCTGTTGAGTATGTGTAGCCGAAGCATGAGCTTCCGGGGTACAGCCCGTCGGGATTCCATGTGCCCAAATTCAACTCATTCTAGTAACTAATTGAGTAACTCTCTAGCCTTCCTAAACACAACATTCCCTTGGCTTGTGTATTTTTTCATGCTTTTCATCAATGTTGGAGATTAAGAAATGCCATGAAGCACGGAAGATACTTTGCCACCCCAGAATCATGGTGACCATTGTGTTCTTGAAGCTCTCACAATGACACCCATTTTTCATCCCGAAGCATTAGGATACTAGTCAGCCATCCAGGCTTCTTCCTCACTATCTCTAGTACCCCCCACCCCTCTAGGCTGGATAAAGAACAATGTCGACAGAGCATTAATCCAATCCCACCTTGCTAGCGCTGGTGTGTGATATGAAACTGGTGAGCTTCTGGCTGCTATGAGCCAACAATTTCAACACTGTGACAACACCCAAGTGGAGCTTCAGGCCATCTTTTCTATCCAAGAAAATCATTCAGCCATTGATGCTGGAAAGCAACGGGCTGATTATTGAGGGAGATAACACCAACATTGTTGCTGTTTTGAGAAAAAAGTGGAGGCTGCATATAGCAAGCCAGACTGATATTTTTGCCTTTCCTACACCATTCAGATAATTCAGATAGGTTCTTTTCCAACACATTTCAAGAGAGCTAAGCAAAACTGCAAACTTTTGTGCTTAACAGTCACTTTTGTATTGTTTTTGCTTTACACATGTACCTGAATCTTGTGAACATTTTTTTATACTTAGAGATGAGCGGTCCCTTTTTGTATATGCTTACTCGCATAGCTTTTTATTTTGTATCTTTTTTATTATAGTATTGCATATGTAATATTTCAAGGATGAATATCATCCCACATCTATCAAAGTCAAGTCGTCCATCTGATAAAGCAGCCTAGTCCACTGTGATATTTGGATCAACTTAATCAAAGAATCCCTAATTCACTTCGAGGATGAATTCACCTAGAGTGAATTATCTCAGGAGTCATACAGACGAACGAGAATCTGAACTGACAAGCGTACTAGGAACAAAAGCCAGAATATGATACTTATAGAGGATAATATGTCAAAGAGTATTAATTATATGTCAGCGATAGAAGAAACCAAAAGGGGGTAAGTCAAAGATGTGTATTGATTATTTGCTTATAATTTATGAGAATATACTCTTACAAATTTGGCGAGATCTATATAAGATGAAGAGTTAATCTCTGGACATTGTATCTTTATCCTTGGTGAACACAGAGATCCCCTGTCTTAAGCTTTTTGCTTCTCTCCTTCCTAGCTCTTTACTATGGTGTGAGTCCACAAAAAGTCGGGATTTATTATGCCACAAACCATAATAAAAGTTTCTCAAGGAGCAAAACCAAGAAATCAAGTGGTTACTAGCAACATAGATTATATCAGAGAGTTTGTGATGTAAAATATCAATGAAATAAAAGAAAATATGATAACAAATGATCAGAGACATTATTATACGTATCGGGAGATCGGGCGCTTCCACCTTTTCTCGAGGCCTCGGTACGAAGGAGATGAGCACCTGTCAATGAAGTCAAAAGGACCCCATTGCTTATTCTAGATGATTAGGATGAAAACTATTACCCTGATGGCTAAAAAGTTGCAGTGAAGCAAGTCGGTCAATTATGCAGGTATATGTGCCAAGTAATAATGTTGTTTAAGAGTGTCCCGTATCGATCCCACGAGGAAGGAGCTAAGAACTATTCTAAGGAGCGAATCTCAAGTTTGCGAAATGTCTAAACCTAATCTAGCGTGATCACAAACAAGAGATGGAGTTTCTAAAATCTTACTAAAAAAAACAAAAATAAATAAAGAGGTTGGAAAACACCGGAAAACAACATTAGATAAATCTTATGGTTCTACAAGAGGGATGAGGCTCGCGCCCCTTTGGTTCAGGTATTGTGATCATTCATGGTATTCCTAGACTTACTTCTACGTGATGGTTGTGAAAAAGGATAAAAAATCCTCCTTATGCGTATGTCTAGGTCAAAAAAAGGCTAGAATTCATGAAGTTGATGCTCCCTCAATCCCCATGACGGAGAATGTTGGCCTTTGAATGAGAAGCATAAAACTAAGTTATGTGTTGTCGAGATGAGAATGCTTAGGTGGATGAGTGGTTTTACACCTAGAGATATAATGCTAAATGAATATATCGGTGATAGGGTTGGTGTTGCTCTAGTGGCGGATAAAATTTGAGAGTCGTCTTGGATGATTTGGTCACATTAAACATCAGTCATCTGATGATCCGATTAGGAGAGTAGATGTTTTAGTTTCAACTTATGTTAAAAAAAAGCTGAGGTAGACCTAGAAAGACTTGGGCATATTGTATAAAAAATGATTTTAGTTTATTAGAATTAAATGAAAATATGACACTCAATAGGATACAATGGAGAAAAAAATTTATGTAGCCGACCCACTTAATGGGATAAAGGCATGTTGTTGTTGTTGTTGTTGTTGTCATATTCAACACAATAAAAATACAAGTAAAAAAATAGAAAATTATTTAGTATAATATTTTACTTAATATTACACAAATGGTATGACTCAATGCCTTGAATAAGTGAGATTGTCCAACATACAACACATTGATGAAAAACAAAATTGACTTTAGCGCTTAGATTTTCCATTGAATCAGGATGGCTCGCCACCTAAATTTGAGTCTAAACGAAATTCAATAGGGAGAGAATACTCTTGTACATGAATGGAAGAAAAGAGCAGACATTGAGCTACAGTTGGACCCCTCTCTTTTTTAATGGAATTCTATCCTCAACACAAATGAGAGAGTTGGTGAAACAACTATAACCTTGCTCGCCGAGCACTTTAAAGGAGATCAAAGAAGCGAGGCTGCAAATGCCAAGAACCAACGATCCTAGTAGTTAAGTAATGAGTTGTGCAGATGTCCAGTAAAGAAAAAAATGAATCTTGTTAATATTAATTTGATTTGCTTTCTCACTAAATAATAGCATTGAGCTCACAACAAACTCGAAGTTGTTGAATCTAAACATGATCAAGCATCATTGACCACCTTCGAAACCAACCGACAAAGAGCCGCCCATTCGGATACTAAGAAACAAAGAGTTAAAATGGATGAAGGAGAAGACATTGCTATCCACCTCATCGTCCCCCTCATCATCTGAGTTTGTTGAATTTCCTATCCTCCACTCTCTTTCCAAATTCTTTACGCAAAATGGGACAGAGGATTCAACTATTTGTAGCCAAGCCAAGGGGATGAAGATGCAATAAAGACATTTATTATAGCTAATGGCACAACATCTCCAACCATTTATTTTATGACATGTTAGCCTCACTTGGAGTATGTATGTGACTTGATATTCTAATTGACATTTCTTGAAAAATTGCATTTGCATTAGTATATCAAAAGAGTTAAAAAAAAATACAAAACTATGCCTTTAAGCATTTAGACAATGTGATATAATCTCCCTAAAAATGGAAAAAAAGGAATGTGATTCTTGTATATGATTCATCAAAATACTTTCTTGTAAGGCCTGTCTTATAAAAAAACTGAGCAACCCTGTTTAAATTTCTTGGTATATAGTGCAACAAGGCTTGTTTAAATTGTGTAAGTAAAACAATGTCCTCGCCATCTTGTTGTTGGGTCCTCCATCTTCGATCTTCCATGCTTAACTTGAGGAAGTCCAAAATATGTCTCTTATAACCCTCAAAATAATACATTTCATCTTGAACATGTATGGCTTCAAGAGATTTTTTATGGATAGGATGGCCTCTAGTTCAATTACCTCAATATTCCAGCTGTTTACTGATAGCCACAATACATTCTTTAGATTCATCCTGCATAACCATACTCATTCCTGGAAAAGAGAGTAGACCCATTAACTTTCACTTTTAGCCAACTAGGACGAGGGGGGACACTAAGAATGGTGATTGAACAATCTATGGGGCTGTTGGGCTGATTAGTGTCTTATTGCTCTTAAATCGAATAGCGGTGAGTTTGAGGTAAGGCTTCAAGAACATTCGCAGCCAAAACAGTGGGGGTCCCAAAATGGCTACATGCTTCGTGAAAAAATGCAACGAAAATCGTACTCTCTTATCTTTCAAAAATCAAATTACAACTCCTCCTTATATAATAACGACTAGGGCATTATTAATTACAATAATTACAACCTATCAAAGAAAACATAACTCAAGAAGAAAAGAAATATGACATAATAAGAAGGGAATACAAATGAATCAAATTAAAATTAGAAACACAATTCCACACTCCACCTCAAGCTGGGTCATAGATTTTGTAAAGACTCGACTTGATATTCAAATTAGTGAAACTGCCTGGAGAAAGATATTTGGTAAAAACATCAGCGACTTGAAGATGAGTTGGGATGTATATTAAATGAAAAAGGTCTCCAATGACATTTTCAGAGATAAATGTTTATCAATCTCAATGTATTTTGTCCTATCATGATGTACAAGATTTTTTACAATACTAATTGTGGCTTGGTTATCTCATAACATCTTTATGAGATTGTCACTGGAGTATCCCACCTCATTTAGTAACATTTGCATCCACTTTCCTTCACAAATTCCCAAAGCCAGTACTTAGCACTCAAATTCTGCATTACTTTTAGAGACCACTGCTCTGATAAGGTTTTCACATAAGAATAATACCCAGAAGTCGATTTTCTATCTGTGAGTTCTCCTACCCAA